TATTATGTTCTTTTTAAGTTCCTACCTTTCATTGCGATATAAGTGAATACCTAATGTGAAATGTTTCTATGAGAGACATTTTAATATAAAAAATAATTCCTAGTTAATCGATGTAATCGCCATTATTTTCGATAATCACTATTGCCATTTTAATGGTAGTAGATTATTCATGTCTCAAGTAGTTCACGGGACTAGAATTGCTTATTCTTTAAATGCCTACAAAATTGAACACCACTTCATTAGTGTTGAAAACCTTGCTTTGCAAAAGCTGTCCAGAAAAAAGAAATGATTAAGAGAAAGTCTGTTTAGTCAACTCATGTTCTAGCTTGTCGCAATGTGGTTGTGGATGGAACAAATTATGCTAGCTCAAAACACTACGCGGTCATAAGCAGATGATTTGATTCAATTTGCGTTTAGGCATTTTTCCCTTTTTGTGTGCTAGTAAATAAATTGAGGCTAGCTTACTATTATTACGTTACTACCACTGAGGCCTAAGATGGAATGCCTCGTTTCCATTAAAAGGGGTTTCCGGTTATCTACACTCACCATACGATACACAGCAGCTTTGAGCTGCTATTCTGTGACCGCATGGTCTTTCCCCGGTTGAGCCGATACATTCGCGCTACAACCATAATAAAATTGCAGCAAGGTTCTACCACCTAAAATCACACATAATATCGCTGGATACTTATACTTAGACTTATATTTTGCCTAATAATATAAACTGACTTTTATATAGAAGTTAAAAGATCAACGATCGAACGAACGAAGAAAGCCAAACGATCAAAGAATGAAACTGATGGTAAATGGACGCAACCCTGGGAACTAAGATGGAATACCTTGTTACCAGTAAAAAGTTGTTCCGGTTCCCATCACCAACCATTTCACGAAACAACAGTATTATGGTGATATTTCATGCTGGTGTTCTGTGCTTGGTTCTGCGCCGGATAAGCTAACCCATTCGCAGTGCAACGTGGCTTAGCCGGGTGGTAAAATAAATACCATGTAGATAGACGTACAAAGTGAAGGAAGTGTGAACTTTTAGCTCTTGACTAATTTTTACATTGGTGTTATTTTTGAAATTTAATCAACTAATTGATAAACTAATGATGCTCGCAGATGGTATACATGCTAATTATAAACAAGGTGACATGGTTATACTTAAGTCTATCAATTAGTGTATATAGTTTTATTTATAATGTTCATATATAAAGGTTAATTAAAATTTTATAAATTAAAAGAAATTATAATCAACCATTTTTCTTCCTGCCTATTACCTATTTCAGTCGAAAAAAAGCAATGCCTGCACTACTGTGTTTGCGGTCTGAAGGACATATAGAGTCAGTATAATTACAGGCTGTGAGGAATTGCATCTTAGTCCTCAGAGGTGGCAACGCATCTGTAGTGTTATTTATTTAAAGTTGTTTGCAGGTGTTCGTGGACTACAGTAACTATAGTAGCTTAGTGTAAATAACATCTAAAAAGAACACAAACCGTCCAGTTTATGGAAAAATAATAACGCATTTATTAGGAAATTAATGCTTTAAGTTGTAAACTATTATAGTTCAGGAAAAAATATTTTCACTGATTTGACTCATGCCATCACAATAATAATATATTTAACACTTCTCTTTTCAAATAATAGATTTTAATACGCCAACATGATAAAAAGATGTACAGTTTTCGCCAGATGTTGATATATCGCGTTAAATATACGCATAACTCAAAATTATAATCGACCTTATTACTGGTCCTTGCTGCGCTTAATGGACTTTATGGATGTATAAATATAATATTCCCTTCACACTTTTCTAGAAAAATCTATATTACAGTAGACAAAAAAAACTACAACAAAATTAAATTAAAAATCTATCTATCCTAATAACTTAAAACTACGACTTAACTAAACTAAAAATGTACCTTCACCTTTTTTGCTGATCATGAAACTTGAACAAGTTATAGAATGTATCTAGGTGAAAGTGCTATTTTTAGCCCAGGTAAGAAATTCCCACTTTTCTGTTTCTGTCATATGTAAATGCCAATACAATTACAGGATGATAGGCAATTCATTTTCCGACTAGGTAAATCCAACTTCGTTCGAGAAGTCAATCATAGGGTCAAAGTGTATACTCGGCAGTTTTCAGGAAATTATGACATACCTTCCGTCACGTATACCCCAAGAATTGAAAATAAGAATGAAAAATCAATTCGTGTAGCCAGTTTACTGCTGCTGGTCTACGACAACAGATATCCTCATCACGAAGTATATTAGGGAAAGAAACTACGAGCATAGCCCTCTCCATAGCTCGCCGAGTGATATTGAGCTTCTTCATAAATATACTTCGTGATGAGGATATCTGCAGTAGAACCAAAGTAACTGACATATCCCAACGGATCATAATCTGAAGAGGCACTGGGCTGGCCACATAGCTCGAAGAACCGACAATCGATGTTGAAGAAATGCTTTCGAGTGGCAGCCTCGTATCGGTAAGCGAAATGTAGGACGGCCTCTCACAGGATGGAATGACAACCTGGCAAGAGATGCAGGAAGTCGATGTATACAGGTTGATGGGACCGTGCTTTGTGGCATGCCTAGGGGGATCTTTGGGGGATGATGCTGCTCGCTTCTGTAGGAATTACTTTTATCCTGACACCCTACACGTATCCCGTAGGTAGTGCTAAACGAGCAGCACTACATACTGGTGGTAGGTTGGTTCTCTACTAGTGAGAGGCCCGGCCAAGAGTTAGTTACCATAAACCTGGCAAAGTCATACCGCCAAATTATGCAAGTCTTGTTCCGGTATGATGTTAGGTGAAACTGATTTCTAAAGGAAGAATGGGTCTGGAGAGTTGCATTGCGCATAAGAACCGCCGTTTCTAAAATCCTGGGATGGTTCCAGCGTACCGGTTGGCGACCGGAGGAGAGGGTCTGGTGGCGATTTCCAGGGGGGTTTGGGAGTCCCCACGATCTCCATGCTAGGAACCATCGATGCTGTGATTCTGTTTGCGTCCTTAGGTCATATGTATGATGCCTCGTCCAACTGCCATTCTCTCAAACAACTCACTTCACCATTTATGAAAAAAAAGGAAAAAGAAGAGTAAACTTGTTCAGTAGTTGCACTCCCTTTCCATCAAAGCGCACCTCACAAACATCCCAGACTTGCACTGTAATATCAATGCAGTCTACTACCACTTTCAGTCTGACAAGCCGCACTTACTCTTCTTGACTGAGACGCAGATCAGATATCCTCTAGGTGTGGCATACCTTGACTATACTGGGTACAGTATAGTCAAGGCTCCAGTGTGAGCATAATTTTCACTAGCGCGCCGGAGACTGTGTTTACGTCTACAACGATATCTGCTGTAAGAGTCTCCGTCACCTTGAGGACCCCACTTTCACTACGATCTGGATATTGATAGACACAGGAATGAATAAAATTATTTATTCTTGTGTCTACTGATCGCACAGCGGTGACCAGGGGGCAAATAGGCTATTTGAACACCTCAGTGAAGCCTTGTAGCTCTTCTGGCTCTAAATCAGTACCCTATTATACAGTTGGCTTTTTAGGGGACCTTAAAGCCTGCCATCTGGACTGGCTGTTACCATACCAGAAACCGACCACGCTGTGAGAGAGGAGTGAAATTTTTCCTTGTCGCTGGGGCTCTCCCCGCTAGTACAACAAGCGACTAGAGTACCTGATGTGGATGCGCACACAGTCAACTGTCTCTACTTTCTCCTGACGACCGATCTAGACAGGTTTGATGTTCAGGTTACCCCGCACTTGGGAACTTCTGACCACTGTTTGGTGAAATCTGTGTTGTAATATTCCCTACCTAACTACGATTTCTACAGTGTGCGGTGAGTGTGGCGACACAAGTCAGCAGATTGGGATGAGATGCGGCATTTCTTAATTTTCATCTTATCCTTGGCAGCAGATTTGCTTCTCGTTTGGAGATCTGTCAAGTTGCGGGGATGCCATAACCGATATGATACGTTAAGCGATGGAGTATTTAATCGCCTTTGCTGACGTGTCCATTGGTGCTAAAGCTCGCCCATGGTTCAACGCCGAGTGCGCTCGTGTTGAAAAGAATAAGCATATGGCGTAATGATCCTGGGTCGATGATTGATATCGCAAAACTCCTGATGTTAGCCTTAAAAAGAGAGTTTTTAACCAAGTCGCCAAGTCCTACAAAGAGGCATTACGACAAGCCAGTTTCAACCGTATTAAACGCATCGGTACAAAGGTATTTGTCAAACCATCTGGCAGTAGAGCTATTTGGTCTCTTGCCAAAGCGGTCGAGATAAACTTCTATCAGTCTACACTGCCTCCGCTGGTAAAACCAGATGGCTCACTAACGTATACGCCTTAGGAGAAAGCGGACTTATTTGCTTCTGTTTTTTGAGTGCTATTTATGCTGTTTCACTGGCTATTGTAAAGGTTTTCAAATAGCAGCGTTTTCCCTCCGAAGGGCAGAAAACGCTTATTTAGGTTTCAGCCGTTCGGTTTGATCCACCTTGAGACTACGCATATACATTCTGACGTTATTACAACGTGAAGTTAGCTCTTTTTGACAGTAGCGCCCTCTGTCGCAAGTGTGAAGTGTATCAACTTCACTCTAATGGAGGGGACTCATTCAGCGCGGGCGGTGTATTGGCCAGTACAATTTGCAAGCCGGCAAGGCACTGAAAATTATGGTGGATCAAGCCGAACGGCTGAAACCTAAATAAGCGTTTTCTGCCCTTCGGGGGGAAAACGCTGCTATGTAGGTGTTCGAGCCTAAAGGCTTGATCCACCTTGAGACGTGTTTCTTATCTGCCGGCGCTGAATGAGCGTACTGTGATTAACTGTTAAAGTTTTCTTATAATATAATAAAAAGGGAATGTATGAATAAAGTGTATTTATTCTTAAACAGAGTAATATAATCATCATGCTAACAAAAATAAATAATTCTTATTCTTGATTAAAGGAACTTTGACTACTTATCACAAGTATAATAAGTCAGTCGATTAACGCAAAATTATCTGAAAGGTTATTACTGATTGTATTTGTTACTTTAGGGTTGATTGGTTTGAGATAATGATTGAAGAATGTTTTTGCAGTTTGCCAATTACCCTTTTTCATAATTTCTTCCATGTTTGTATATCCGCGTAACCAATTACCGGTAGCAACGGCTGATCTGCAGCTACCTGGAGAGGCATTTATGTTAGCTTCTATGAACAGTGTAAGTGTCCATCCGGCTATCACTGATCTTGAAGCTGGGGCGACTTTACCGCGGGTTGTTATAAACAAATTTGTAATACCTTTGTTTCTTCGTCTTGGTTCTGATATTTCCTGTAGGCGTCTAGTCCAGGTAACGAGGTCTAAGTTTTTGACTGAGTTCATTGTTATTTTCCAACCTGATTGTATGTATGTACAGGAATCTGTTTTTGAGCCAAATTTAGGCCATAATTTAATACTTTTATCTGTTATTTCAAAGAACTCTTCGCTTATATTTAATAAAGTTAGATCGTGGATTCTTCGACCTAGAAGTAACAGGATAGCTCGATGTCTGCTGACTTGAAAGATGCTATCCTCATTTAATTTGTAGCACTTTAACCACTTAATAAATTCGTTTACGTTCCAGGTAAGTCTACTAGGACGTTTCCGCCCTTCCAAACTGATGCCTTTCAGCATGTGTTTGACCAGAGGGTGCGAGCCGATCCATGCGGTAGCATCTGGATTCGTAAAAGTGCATACTACTGATTTATGTAGTGCTATGGTGTTCGGCGCCAGCTTCATCTTGGTATGTAGGAATCCGAGATAACGTGCTAAGTCTGTTGCTTTTGGTTCTTTCACAGAGACATCTTCTTTTAAGGCCCATGCGACGCACTTTTCCCAAGCTGGTCGGTATGTTTTGATGCTAGATTGTCGCCAAGACTTTTCCACTACGTGTTTGAGTTCGGTAGGCCAGGGGTTAACGAAATTGGACCAGCCTGTATGTGCCATACCTGCAAAACTATTGTGTCTACCCCCGTGGAGGTTTTTGGGTCCGTAAGTCTATAAGGTGAGTCCGCAGATTCTCCAGCCGGAGGGGTTTGCTGGTAGATCTGTTTTCCAACATCGGCATCCAGAATGCATTTGTCTATTCCGGGGTTACAAGCAGGTAAGTCCCCGTGCACTTGTTGAGATGGCGAAGAACTTTTGTTATTAGTGCTGGCAGTGGGAAGACCCACCCCAGTTTGAAATTTCATGTTCGACTGAAGGCGTCCGTGTATAGGCTGTTCCGGTCCGAGACATCTTCGGTTACATAATTGGATACAACTGCCGAACGTTTTGAAGCGTACAGGTCTACTTGTGGAGTTCCAAGCTTCTGGAAGATTTGGCCAAGAATTGCTTCGCTTAAGTGCCATTCTGGTAGAGCATTTTGCCTTGATAAGCTGTCGGCAATGCCATTTAATTTCCCTGGGAGATATCTGGCTGTTATAATGATTTTCAGTTGCGCAGCTAGGTTTAGTATCTTCGAAGCTGTCTTCAATAGGATAGTTGATTTCATCCCCCCCCCCCCTGTTTGTTAATATAGGCTATGTTTGTTCGATTGTCGGATTGGAAGATAATCGATTTCCCTCTCAGGAACTTTTTCTCTCTTTTGAGAACTTCGTAAAGTACCCAGAGTTCCTTCTGGTTGGAGTGCCAGGCTTTTTGTTTGTCGTTCCATCTTCCTTTCAATTTCTTGCTGTTCATTAAAGCTCCCCACCCTGTGTCTGCTGCATCTGTCGTTATGAAGGCTGATGCTGGTTTCCGGTGAATAGGAGAAGATTTGTGTACATTACGAGTCCACCATGTGAGGTCTTCCCTGGCGGCTTGGTCGATGGTCACTACTTTGCGACGGTTTGACTTTGGTAGGTGTGTTGACGATCTCTGGATATTTCTGCAGTGTAGGCGACCTAAAGGTACTACTTCTGCAGCAAAATTTAGCTTCCCTGCTATGCTTTTTGCGTCCCACTAGTTCCAGTGGCCTACTTTGAGAAGTTTCGTGATGTGCGTTTGAAATGCTTTTATTTTTTCTGGTGGCAAGTACTTCAAGTTTCTCTCTGTATCCCAGATTACACCCAAGTATTCGACGCAGCGCGTAGGTGTAGTTATAGACTTGGAATGGTTCACGCACCATCCGAGACTTTCCAAAAGCTCTACCGCGAAGCGTCCTTGCTGGGATAAGATCTCTGGATCTTCGTGCCTCAGCAGAAAATCGTCTAAGTACACGATCACTTTTAGTTGGTTCTCTCTTAGGTACTGTGCTAACCAATTTGTGATCTTCGCAAATGCTGACGGGGCACTTGCGAGTCCGAATGGAAGACATGTCATATGGAAAAATGACTGATTGTGCTGGAATGTTAAGTACCGTTGGTGTGCTTGAGTGACTGGGATGTGGTAATATGCCTGAGAAATGTCTATCTTCAGCATGTAGTCTTTCTCCCACAGGTGATTTGGCATTAAATATAAGTTTGGGAGGTGAAATCTTGGAGTGCTCACGTAATTGTTGAGGTTCTTTAAATTTATTCATCATCATTCATCATTACAGCCCTTCACAAGTCCACTGCTGAACATAGGCCTCCCCCAAAGAATGCTACAAAGCACGGTCCTGAGCCACCTGCATCCATCGACTTCCTGCATATCTTACCAGGTCGTCACTCCATCTAGTGGGGGGACGCCCTACACTTCGCCTGCCGGTACGAGGCTGCCACTCGAGAACCTTTCTTCCCCATCGGTTGTCGGTTCTTCGAGCTATATGGCCGGCCCATTGCCACTTCAGCTTACTAATCCGTTGGGCTATGTCGGTCACTCTAGTTCTACTGCGGATATCCTCATTTCTGAGTTTATCACGCAGAGAAACTCCGAGCATAGCCCTCTCCATAGCTCGCTGAGCGACCTTGAGCTTCCTCATCCGGCCAGCAGTGAAGGACCACGTCTCAGTTCCGTATGTCATCACTGGCAACACGCACTGGGTGTACAGTCTCGTTTTCAAGTTTTGAGGTATACCTGACGAGAAGATGTGCCGTAATTTCCCGAACGCTGCCCAACCGAGTTGAATCCGTCGATTGACCTCTCGGTCGAAGTTGGACTTACCTAGTCGGACTATTTGTCCCAGGTAAACATACTCGTCAACAACTTCGAGCTTAGTGTTCCCAACAACTACCGGCATAGGTGTGACATGGACATTAAACATGATCTTTGTTTTGTCCATGTTCATCTTAAGACCTATCCGTTGGGAAACACTATTGAGGTCATTGAGCATAGTGCTTAGGTCCTCCAGCGATTCTGCCATAAGGACTATATCGTCGGCAAATCGAAGGTGAGTGATGTACTCGCCATTGATGTTGATACCGTATCCTTTCCAGTCCAGAAGCTTGAAAACATCTTCCAATGCAGCGGTAAAGAGTTTCGGGGATATGACGTCACCCTGTCTTACACCTCTCTGCAATTGGATAGGTTTCGTACTCTGGTTCTGTACTCGGATAGCCATCGTAGCCCTACTGTACAAGCACTTCAACACTTCGATATACCGACAGTCAACTTGGCATCGCTGAAGGGACTGCAGCACCGCCCAAATTTCGACGGAATCAAAGGCTTTCTCATAGTCCACATACGCCAAACATAGTGGCAAATTGTACTCCTCGGACTTTTGTACAATTTGCCGAAGGGTATGTATGTGGTCTATGGTGCTAAAGCCTTTTCGGAAACCGGCTTGTTCGGGAGGCTGGAAGTCGTCAAGTCTGCGCGCGAGACGATTCGTAATGACTCTCGAAAACAGCACGTAGACGCGGCTCAGAAGGGAAATCGGTCTGTAGTTCTTCAAGAGAGCGTTGTCGCCTTTCTTGAAGAACAAGACCACCGCACTTCTGCTCCACGCCTCCGGTGTAATGCCACCATGGAGGACGGTATTAAAGAGCTTCTGAAGGACTTCAAGTACCGGTTTTCCACCCGCTTTCAGAAGCTCCGCTGTAATTCCATCCTCGCCTGGGGCCTTGCCGTTTTTAAGGTGCTGGAGAGCCATTCTAATCTCGCTCAGACTGAGGTCCGGGATATCATTGGAATAATGTCGGATAAGACTCGCTCTTGGATCGTTACTCACACTTGCGTGCGGCTCCAACGATGACGTGTACAGCTGCCCATAGAACCTCTCAATCTCACTCAAAATCTCAGGTGCCCCGGAAACGATGCTGCCACATTCTGTCTTCAGCTTTGACAGTTGGCGCTTTCTGGCAGCCAGATCTCTGGCAAAGACTTTGGAGCCTCGGTTCCGCTCGATCGCTTCTTCAATACGAGCTGTATTGAATTTGCGTAAGTCCCGCCGCATGCATTTGGAGATCTGTCGGTTCAGTTGCCTGTATGCTGTTAAATCTGTTGAAGAATGTAGCTTCATCTCCCGTCTAACAGCCATGAGATTAAGAGTGTGATCGGAGAGTTTTTGTGTTCTTCTGCGGCGGGTCTTGCAGAACTTAGCTCCGACCGCATGGACAGTTTCCACGAGCTTCTCATTCAAATCGTCCACTTCATTGCAGTCTTCTAGGCACTGAAAACGGTTTTGTAACTCGAGCTGAAAGGTTTCGGGACTTTGGATTAGAGCACGAGGGGGACGGAGCGTTGACTTCATTAGACGAGACCTCTCCAACTTAACGTTTAGGTTCAGTGTGCCTCTAACCATTCGGTGATCGCTGCCGGTTTTCACCCTCGCGATCACTGAGACATCACTGAACAGTTGTCGTCTGGTCGTCATAATGAAGTCAATCTCATTTTTTGTCGAACCGTCGGGGCTCGATCACGTCCACTTCCTGTGGGGCCGCTTCTGGAAGAAAGAGTTCATCATAAAGAGTCCCTCTTTCTCCATGAAGTCGGCCAGCTGCTGGCCCCTTGGGTTCCGTTGCCCTATTCCAAATTTCCCTACTTTTAGCTCACCGTTCTCTCTTGTGCCTAGTTTTGCATTGAAGTATCCCATTAACACCGTATATTGGGTTTTGGAGGAATGCATGGCTCTAGAGATATCCTCATACATTTCCTCTACCTCCTGATCGGGGTGTGCCGAGGTTGGTGCGTAAACCTGTATGACCTTCAGCGAATACCGTTTGGTGATTCTGAGTATAAGGTACGCAACCCTCGTCGACACACTCTCAATCTTTACAACGTTGTTAACGAGAGACTTGTGGACGATAAATCCGACACCTCCTTGGGACAGATGGTCGCCCTCCCGGTAATAGAGCAAGTTGCCGGATTCGAGGATTACCGTGTCCTCCCCCTCTCTTCGGACTTCGGATAATCCTATAATATGCCAGCGTAACTTGTCTATCTCTTCTTCCAGCTCCACAATCTTCTCGTCAGTCCTCAGGGTGCGTGCGTTGTATGTTGCCAGGTCGAGTCGTCGTAGGTGGCAACCGAACCTCCACCGGAGATTCTTAGCACCCCCTGCCCCGCCGTTACCATGGTCGCCACCGTAGCCAGGAATAGCGGGGCCGCCGGGGACTGGGGGCCGTTTATTATTGTCATTGCTCATGGGGGGTATATTGCCATAGTTGCCACGCTTGGCGAGCGGGTTGGCAACCGCAGTTTTTTTATTGTTATTTTGGCTATTATCAGGAAGATGCTGCTGCCCATCTCCTGCCTGTTTCCCTTTGTCGCCTTTTACGACACCCACGGGAAGATATGGGGTAGTGGATATTCTTAACCGCCACTACACGGCAATTATATTATTAAATTTATTATAATTCTGTAATCTCCATTCGGTTTCTTTCTCAGAAATATTGGAGACACAAATCCTCTTGAGTACCTTATGGGGATTGCTGCTTTTAATTTCAAAAGTTCCGATATTTGGGTCAATATAACATCTGGATTTTCGTTCGTCACTTTTTCTTGCGTTTTTGTATTTAAAGTCATTAAAGGTGGTTTTTGTAGGAAAGGTATTCTGTAATTTTGAATCATCGATAAAATTGTATGGGGTGCTCCTATACTTTCCC